AATGAGTATACATGAATAGCATCACTTTACAGTTTGCAATAACAAGTCTAGCAGTAGAGATAAATCTGTTTCAATACACTGTATGCTGCTATCATTCTACAAATATTTTAACCAGAGCTAGTTCCCATCAACCATCCTTGAAGCTCCACCTCATCTTCTATTTGTCTCTTCTTCTCAGACAGCATGATATATGCAGATACAAATTCTCCCTCCAGCCTCGCTGGCACAGCTGCAGCCATTACATATCTACCAGTTAACTTCTCTTCACTCCAACCCCTGATTTTTCTGCCTTCCATGTGCATACCTTTCAAAATGATGCCTCTAAATTGCCTGCAGCTTTCTGACTCCCTCTGTGACAACTGGAAGTTGCAAATGCTTTCTTTAGTTGCTGAATTGTGCAAGAAGAAAAGGTCCAGGTGGAGAACTGTTTGGCTCACAAGATCAGTTCCAGACTCAGTAGTTCCAAGGAAAGATTATTAATGCAGTGATAAGCATTTTATATATATAAATATATAAATATAAGATATACTTATAAATATAAGTAAGAAATACTTATAAGTAAGAAATGCAGGGGCGTGTAAAATGAACAGCAACAGGCCTGAGAAACATTTGTGTTTTCATTTATAGAGAAATCCTGTTACAGAGGAAGATTTCTTTAGTAGTCATATTAATAGTAGAAAATATAACTTTATGTGTATGAAAAGCTTGCTAAAGACTTTGCCTCCAAAATGATATGACCAAAACCATTGTTGATCAGTTGGGCTGGCACACATGCTCAGCAGCCTAACAGAGCTGTGGGATTTCCTTTGGTTCTTACCAGTTTTAACCATTGAAAAGACATTTCCATAAACTTTTTGGCACTATGAGGTAAGTAAACCAAACACTACAGAGATATAGATCTGTCTGGCATCATTATGTCAGGATAAATAATGATCAGCTAATCGAAATACCATAATACAACAAAGCTTAGAAGCTTAGAGTATTTTTTGATTAAACTACTGACAAGGGACTATTAGATTTACAGAAGGATTTTGGTGGTGGTGGTGTTTTTGTTTGTTTGTTTGTTTTGTCTGCCAATCTATAATATTTTAAGTCTACTTGTTAAAACTTCATTTTCGAGCTTGTCAGAGACAGATGTTTATTAGCCCACATTTGGTCTTGTTCCTCACAAAGATGAAACAAAACCCATGCCATCTAGAGAGTTCTGTAATCAGACTTTTGATTCCAGAGCTATAAAGCAGAAGTTCAGGTACATATTTTGTATCTTGTATGAAAAATTACCATACCACATCGCTTGAGGGCATGTTATTTTTAGTAGCATTTATCTCCCCCGGAAAAAAAATAAAATAAAATAAATAAATAGATGTGGGGTAGATGGTTGATACTCTGTATCAGTGCTTCCAGAGTCTGATCTTTATCATGCTGTAAATGAAGTGCATCAAGAATGGTTTGTGTTTTTCCACTACTGCTTGAAACCTTGTCAAATATGTTTCCCTTTCCCTGTCACTCTCATAATGTTTCTTTGGCAAATGCTACAACTGGATCCTCACTGCATTTAAAACATCCTCATAGTAATTACAAAGATGAGAAAAATCTTTTAAAAATTGCACGTGTTTTTGAAATTATTTTCATTTCCGTTCACATTCCTAGAATGTCACAGAGATATGAGCTCAATACAAGGCAGAAGTAAAATCGTTTACTTCTCTTTCTTTTCCATGCCATATCATTTCAAGTATGATGTAGTTCGGTGCTTCTTTTATTTTTAATGATTAGTTTATCAATAACTATATTATCCCAGTAATGTTTGTACACTAAAATTACTGACCTGCAAAATTCTAACTCCACTTTTAACTTGGCTTATTTCTCCACGCCCCAGAAATAAAGCAGCACTACTTGCTATTACATTGGAAATTACATTTTTAAAGCACTGAAGCACTTAGAATTCAGCCAGTGCACAAACCTAAGTGACACCAAGTTCATTTATGATCTAGTCCTTAAAAACCTTTCTAAAATCAGGGATGAGCATGCACTTACTGAGCGAACAGTAGTCACATGAAAAATGTAAGCTATTTGGGTTGATAGAAAAAGTATAAGGGACTGGGTGAGTCTAAAAAGTTAGAAGCATAGCACTGAAGGCAATAGATCAGATGTCATTTGCTGGCCAAAATCCCTCTCCAAGTGATGCTATTATTAGGAATAAGTTTGTAGAAACTTGTCAGTGAAGGAGATTGACTTGGCTAAGAACCTGACATCCCCGTTAATCCTTTTGAGCCAAGCATGAGTATGGTCTGGCCTAAACATTAATAACCCTTTACTGTGCTCTGAAGAACAGAAACCTTCACAATCAACATTGTTCTTGATGTCTTCAAGCAAAAATAAATACATAAATAAATACTAAACATTTTAAGAGCCCTTATACCAGGCACATTTTTGTCAAAATATATTGTTTTACTCAACACAGGAGAATTGGAATGAAATTCTAAAACATGGGACATGGGACTTGGGGTTACAACATCCATGAATCCCTTCACCATTCTGAAGGAGGATGGTTGAGATACCATCTGTCACAAACTGTTCATTTCAACCATTCCAGAAACTGTTTATTGTGAAACAAACAGAAAGCATTTCAGTATCTTTGCTGGCGTGCATGTATTTGTTTTCTTATGCGTACACAAATACACAACGAAGAGCACAATCAACCCCACGGGTGTAGAGATGCCACCTAAATTTCTCATATTATAACAAAGATGCAGAGGCACTGTTCTGTAAAATAGTCCATGACTTACCTTTGAAAAAACACAAACTGTTAAGTGAGAAAGAGATTTGGGCTGTGGTTCACAACGCTATCCATACATAAAACTACCATGATTACAAAACACCTTTTAAATCGTAAGTCTCAGGCATGTGCTTTGCCACTAGTATTAGCATGCATTCCCTTTGCTTAGAGCTGGAGAGCTCTGGCTCTCTTTGGAAGGAATGCAAAGCAGGCCGGAAAGAGAGATCCACGTGTCAGGGCCATTGCTGTCAAATGGCCTCCTCACACATTGCAGATGTTGTTCAAGCACGAGCCAGGAAGCATGCGGAATAAAAAGCAGCCTATGGAGCTTTAGGTGGGGATAAATGCTGCAGAAAGCTTGTAGCATGCTTCTGCACCACAAGAGAATTTCCCAAGAAGTGAACAGGATCTATATGGGAATGAGCCGAACTTAGAGGGTATATTGGTATATCAACATTAATTTTACAGTATTCCAATATTTTTTCCTTAGGGAGTTAGCACTAGGACTTCATGTAAGTTCTATGTACAACTTGGTCATAAGTTGTCTGGTCATAAGTATAGGACTTATACTAAGACACAAACAAATCCTGTATAGTATATGTCAGCGTTTTCATTTAGAAATCAATTTTTAAATTTTTATTGACATCAGAATCTAACATATTCTGAGAAAAAAAAAAAAAAAAAAAAGGTGATGCTTAGATGCTTATAACCATGCCAGAAAAAGTAGCTGATAATGATGATGGGTCTTGCATTAGAGTCATAAAAATGATGGCTTTATCTCACAAGACTAAATAATATAGACATGGAAATACTAGTTAAATTAAAATGTTCAGTAGATCTCAGCAAAGACCCACTGAAATTTGAGTTGTGACCAATACTCCAGATATTGTACAATGAGTATGTGGCTTATTGATATGACAAGTACTACTATTTTCCCCTAGGAGAAAAATGGAATTTGTGACAAATGGTCTAATAGAACAATACAAGTAATTGATGGAGTTTTGCACAGTCTGTTGGGTGAAGTGACAGATCTGAAAAGCCTCTGATTTATTAGTTTTTCTGTCATCATAGAGTAAGGTCTGACTATAGACAAAGTAAGTTTAAGAAAATACAACATAAAACAGAGAAAGCTGGGACAAAAAAAGCATGATCCTAGTTTCCATGTCAAGACCATTTTACAAATGACTCCTAAATTAAAATAATTAACACTATAAATATGTTACTAAACTTAGGAGTTATATTCTGAATCACTTTCTGTATAATTTTAAAAATAGTTAAAATATATTAGTGACCTTTAGCTATACAGTTATATATTTTAGATAATTCTAGGTCCAACCTAACAGATATATACATGTCACAAGATATGCAAGAGCAGAAAACATTACAGATTTGAAAGGTTCTCTTAAGAATTGCTTCTTCTTATTAATGTTCTTTAAGCTAGGAGTTGCTGCCCTACCCACATCAAAGCTATGTAGTGGAAATTTAAATTGAGAGATAAATGACTTGTTTCTTGCAGTAATAGGAAGCTGTTAATTTGAAAAACATGAGGTTTTATTTTAAACGCTTGTTACTTCAGTTTTATATGAATATATCATCTGGTTGGTATAGTTCATCTAAGCTACTAGCTAAGCTTCTCAAACTGGAACACATTTTTTAAAGGTAGTAGAACACTGAAGCTTTTTGCAAAAGGATTTGTATAAATGGAAAAATATATATATAAAAGATGGTGTGGAAGAGATTTCCATGCCTTAAAACTTTCTTGACATCCCTTCACAACAGTGTTTTCAGGAGATGAATATAATGTTTGCAGAGGTAGGTCTGGCTTGTTTTAGCCACCCAGTATGGTTTTAGCACAAGATAAAAACCTTTAAAAAGTACAGTCTAAGTTATTTAAACAATAAACTGTAAATAATATAAACTGTAATATAAACTATATATTAAAACACAGTTACATATAAATATATATTAAATATTTATATTATATATAGTTACATATAATATATATTGATATATATAAAGCTTATTCAATATCATTAAGAAAATGAATGAAATTTTAAGAGTCAGAGAACAATTTACAACCCCAAATCCAACTGTTAGTGATTTAAAGGGATGTGTGTGTGTGGGGGGGAAATTTGATATAAAAGCATGCTTGACCACTGTTAACTGCTGTTGGCAGTGTACTAGCTTGATCTACTAAATATTTGTGTCTCTTTATCTGACCTAGGAGACCCACAGAATCTTTAAGGAAAAGGATCTTTACCTCTGAGCCCGGTAACTCAAGCCTTCACCAGCTATGGAATTGCATCTGTCTAGGAAATATTTGCAAACAAAAAGGTACTCCTCTGTACTTCGATGCAGCATTCTGTTCTTGGTACGCGGTTAAAACAGATCACCAGTTCTGCTTTATTTTTTTTTCCCCAATAAACTATGTTTATTATGCCAATTCTAATTACCATGCAATCTAATGTTTTTAAGGCTTATATTTTCCACATCACTGGACATCACAAACATGAAAGCATTTTATACTGTCATTATACATCAATGTTTGCACTTGGGTATACATATATACAGAAATTATTCACACATCTTAACCTTGCTATTTCCTCCTTTCAAACCAACATAATTTTACTGTGAAAGCAGCTTTTTAATAAATGGTATAAGAAATACAGCAAGGCACACATTTTTAAAAACTTTTTTTCTCATTACCACCTCAAGAAGCATAAAAAAAAAATGTTGTACTTAATTCAATAGAATGTCAACAGTTCCTAATATACAACACCATGCAGTTGTTTCTTGAAGTGTTGCATAGATTAAATTTTAAAATGAAATAAATAAAATGGTATTTTGTTTGTTTAATTTTTAGGTGTATTGATTAAGGAGAGCTAATGACTTCTTTTTGCTGCAATCCAACAAAATTGTCACTTTAAACATAAAATAGTTTCAATAAACTTATGCATTATACACATAAATATTAAATTTGATACATAAAATAGAGGAGTACTGGCAGGTACAATTCTGAAAAGATAAACCAGACCGATCATGAAATCTGTGGAACTTCAAAACTTTAACAAACAGAACCCAGTGATAAGTACAGGAGCATCCAATTTAGGAAGGGCAGATCATTAGAGGTAGCTTGGGAGAGGAATCCATGAGAAAGCAAATGGCTTTGCTACCATACCAGATGATCACTGAAATAGAATTAGCATATGCAGCCTGATCACAAAGCCAACATGGACAAATCACATTTGGAAAGAAAATTTATCTTGGGAGTCAGTGTAATGAAAGGCAGTGATACAATGGAATTGGAGGTCATCCCAGGGTTTACAGGATGAACCTGCACCTGAATTGCAGCCAAGTTTCTAAAAGGAAACAAAAAAGTAATAGCAGGTTACAGAAAATGCAGTTTTATTTGCAAAACATAGCTCTTCCAGAACAACCATAGATACTCATTAAATTATCACATGCCAGAGCCTTTAATGCAGAAGCATACAGTAGGCAAACAATGACTTTTAACAGCCTGAGGTACAAGGTAGTGTAAAAATTGTTTTGATGTAGAAAACTCATTGATTTTTGTAAAGACTTTGTTTCTAAAGAAACAATGGAAGTCATCAAATCTGACCTTTTCCCTGGATCCTGTCCTCATCCTTACCTGCAAACTTACCTTTAGTGCACTCAAAGGTGCACCGATCAATGAAAACATAGGGGTTTTTAAAAGGCAAACAACAAAAAGATCTACCCGTCACTTAGTTTAATACTTATGTAAACATATAAAATGAGATTTCAAGAGAGAAGGAACAGATTGTCACAGAAGTGTTCAGTGAATAGAACTGTCAGTGTCATCACTGTCTTTTTAAATTGTAAATAGCTATTTAGACACTTCTAGTACCAGCAATGAGTTAAATTTTCATACTATAGAATTATCCAGCTTGGAGTTTAGGGTTAAACTATTCATCAAAGAGCACAGGCTTATGATGAGGATTATGAAGAAATAACTGTCAGAATACAGCTCAAAGATTAGTGCAAAGTACATCTTGTAGGCATTTCCTAGGAGGCACTCCAGACATGCATTATGTGCCTTCCAAATTAAGCAGGAGTATCTGGATCTATCCAGTTACCTTCTCCTTTGATCTTATTTGCTGTAACTAGCCCCCCCCCCCCCCCCCAGTTATAGAAGAAATATACTTACAGGAAAAGAATGAAAAGCTCAACAGTTTGTTTAGAAATTAAGGAAGAACTGATGTGAATAAAGAGGAAGATTATCAAAATGTTTCAAAATGTTTCTACAACTCTGGCAGGAGTTTTATGTATCTATAGTAAGAAAAGTCTCACTGATGGATTATGTCAGGTTTTTCAAAAAATACGTAATTCACAGATAATAAAAGATTATCTGTTTATTTAATTCTTTTAAAGAAGTCAGCTACGACAGTAAGGAGCTAAAAAGTCAGAGTATTTTAAATTCTATAAAGAAACATTGGTCTATCCATCTCCCTATAAAAATTGTAAGAAAAAAAATAAGCAAAAATTTAGATTACTCTTGTAGTTCCATTTTCTAAAAGTAAATTATTACATACTAGTTATTCTGTAAACCTCTATATTATTTCTCTCCTGTAATGTATAATTAACTAACAGTACTTTGCATTTCTGTATCATGTTTTATCTGTGGATCTCAAAACACTTCTCAGTGAATGAATCATGTTTCACAGGTCCCATCAATCATTATTCTCATTATTTTGCTGCTAACAAAACTGAGGAAGGGAAGGAATAAGCCATACAAAAACATCCATTGCTGAGCAGGAAATAACAGCCAGGCTTCTGAGTAGCAGTCCTGGGCATCAGCCATAGAGCCATCCCTCTCTCCTGGGCTTCTCTGGGTATTGTAAGTGGTGGGACATTCTGGCCAACATTGCAGCACTGTCGGATTTATTTTTCTTAAGCCCAAACAAAATATTTTTTTTCCAAATTAAGTTAATACTTAAGTTGAAATTACAGATTCTGTACAAAAGGAAGGAAATAGCTTTTGAGACTTACTTGTAAGCACTAACAGGTAACACACAGAAGTATATCATATTTTCTAGAAATGACTCCAGACACACCACATAAAGAAAAAGAGATCAATGTATTGATCTCTATACATATTGAATATGTGACTAAGAATTCCCATCCCTTTGGTGAGTCGTGGGTCACAGTGACAGCAGAAGATTGCATGAGCTCATATACAGAAAGATAGCTCCTTCAAGCTGTCCCCTACTTAAGAAACAAAATCAGCATAGTTTTATGAGCACCTCTGTTAAAGAACTCTGTGTTGGCTTATATGAGAGATGAGTCAGTGCTGACAGATATTTTTGAGCCTACTTATAGAATTGCTATTATTTTAACACATTGGTCATTTCTTGTAGCACGCTGATAAATAATAGAATTGCAACTTACATACACTTGCAGAAATATTCTCCTCACCATTTTATTCTCCTGTACATCCAAAGCACATACTAAAATAGTAAAAACCAAACTACATTTGAAACTATGCTTTTTTTCAGCTTTGAAACCTTAGTATGCTTTTAAGGTACACATATACTATAGATTATTTTTCTCTAAGTATTACAGCTACACATGGAATTACACATTTAAATGAGCTTACAGCACAGGTGCTACAGGAAAAATAATGGTGTTTGCCATTTATCTTTCAAATTAAATAATGTGTTTTTAAATAGTAACTTTTTTCATAATACACTTATGGGAACAACATTTATCTGTCACATTTTAAAAGATGTATTAGTAATAAATGTAAATTACCTTTAGAAAATCAGTAATTAGCCTCATCAAAAAATAAACAATCTGCCACCAAAAAGATAATCTTTAGCATAGTTAAGTATAATAACTGTTATTTGAATAAGTTAACAAATTAGGATAGATTGCTTCTGTAATTCATTCCCCATAGCATGAGAGATGAAGTTAAAGCACCAAGCTTGTGAATGGGGGAAGGGAGCTCAGACTTGAGTGAAACCAAATCTAGCAGCTCATATATTCCTTTTTTGATGTGCCTGAGACACACTATATCTATCCTAGGGCTTTACTGCTGGGAATAATACAGTACATAACTTCCATGGAAGCAGTGCTATACATGTCTGTTAAGAAACAACGTATCTTCTAATATTTAAAAAGTGGAATGTAGTGTGAAGGGCTTTGTTACCTTAAAATTATTTTTCAACATCAAGTCAAAAATTATTTTTTTGTTACGTTAAATGTTATAGTTTTGATATAATCCTATCAAATTGTTGTATACAGGCTCTGCATTATATTGCATTGTATTGCAGGGCATGTATTAAAATCCTCTATGTCCAATCTTTGTCCTTATGCCTTGTTAGCTGCATGTTGTCACATCCCAGTCTTATGAAAAACACAGCTGACTACAATGTAACTATGAGGTTCTGAAGATTGAGGGGAAGTTTATACAGTATTTTGAGATCCTCAGAGGAAAAGTACTTTCAATGAAGCGAAAAAATACGTTATTGTCTTCATCAGTGAAAGAATATGAACAAGAAGAAAATCACACACAGTAAGTATTCTTCCTCAAATTAAGTGAGTGGATAAAAATATAAGAAAATTAATAAAACAGTAATTTAGGAAAAGTTTATGTTTACATAATCATCACTTATCAACCTCATACTTTAGTCATCATCTCAACTTCCACATAGAAGCCTATGTATACACATAATCTTTTGAATGCAATCCTAGAATATATAGTATCATTTATCAGTTTTGTAATTCCCAGTTGATTTCCTTTGCTTCTCCAGTTGTTTGGATGTGTCCAGGTATTAACCTAACTGGCAATCAGCAGGTCAGGAAAGCCCATTTCAAAGCCATTCAAGAAATATCCTCGCTGCTATGACAGTTCCAAGATAATGCACTATTCAAATAGATTTGTGTCTGAAAGAGATAGTGGCAAGGTGTAGACTTTTGCTGCCATAACCTAAAGATTTTGCTAGATGTATTTATACATATGTGAATATGTGAATGGTCGGTAAAACAAAAATGTGCAAAAGAAAACCCCAAAGCATAATAGTATAATACAGCAAAATCAGGAAATGCTGAAGTTAAATATCCAACAGGAGCAAAGCAATCTATTTTGTATAAATAGGCTCAGATCCTCTGCTATAGCTATACAGGTTGCAATAAGTGTGTACTAGCGGTTTCAACGATGAATAATGTCCTTTTCTTCTAGTAGTATCATAGAATCATAGAATAACTTAGTTGGGAAGGGAAATTTGAATGTCATCTGGTCCAACCTCCCGCTCAAAGCAAGACTATCTTCAAAAGTAGATCAGATTATTCAAGGACATGTCCATGTTAATTTTGAAAATCTCCAAGTATAGAAATTTTAGAACTAGCCTGGGTGACCTGTTCCAGTGCTTAACCTCATGCCTTACTGGAAACTCCCTTGCTACAGCTTCTGATAAGCAGCAGCATTTGGAATTGGAGTGGCATTCGGAGTTGCCTGGTCTACTGAATGAGTGTTTCCAAAGACCAATGGTATTACTGCACAGCTATGTTGGCTTTTGGCTCACCAAACTAGTGAGACTCAGAACAACAGCTCTATAGGATCTGATCCAGAAGTTGCTTTGTAGATCTTCTGTTGTTAAATATGCAGCTTATTGTTAGACATTCATGTGACATTAAAAACTCCAGATATCAACCATCCCAAAACTTTGGAAGAGATCAGAGCCAAATTTTCAA